GCAAATGAAATATGGAATTTCGATTGAGCATTTCAATGCAATTTGTATTGTTCTCCAACAAAATAAAGGACGTCGGTTAAGCATTTGATATTAATTGTAATAATTTCAATCGTGACAACAATAGCTTAATTTAACATTTCATATTCTCACTAGGACTACATTTCACATTAATTTCATGTTTTGTGTGTGCTTCCAGTTTAGAACATAGTAACTCACTTAAAGTGTATGCTTTTGAATGGTCATTGCGGTAAAAAGAATTAGATGCTTATATTCTTCATAAAAACCTCACTCACTGGATATTTTCTACAGCACATTAGGAAATATTATCATAAAAATAATCAGTTCAGTACAAGAATTAAACGAATACGTATAAAGCGTTCGTTGTTTCGTTCATTGCTCGAAGGGTTTGTGTCGTTCACATAATGACGTAGTGTGTTCGGAATTTTGGTACGCTGTAAGTTTAGTTTGTTTGATGTGTTTTACGTCGTCATGCGAAGAACGTATTTCGCCCTATTTTGTTGTTTTCTACCTGTATGTGATTAAATGTCATTCGTACTCATAACTAAAGAACTCCTTTAATTAAACTCTAATCCATTTTTTGATTTCATTAATTCGATACAAGGATCTTCAATAGCTATTGTACGATGTCAACATTTCAGTTAATAATTACATAACATGATTTATTCTACTTAGCACTAATCATCAGTTATAAACTGAATTGTGGTTTTTAACGTCATGCCTTATACACCGTCTTGGTTAATACCTCAGTAACAAGTTAGAGCGTATTTTGCTTTAAATGTCCTGTTTGTTGTTTTTGCCCATGTTATATATTAAATATTGTTTTTAATAAATATGTTTCCCTAACCGTATTTTGTTTCGTACATTTAATCTCACAAAGACCCGAGAAAAATCAACAGGTATTTTCATACAACACTAGCGAGTGTTTCCAGCTACCAGTTAACTATTAACACTTATTTCAGAAAACTATATTTTAGTTAACCTAAAAATATTTCTCCTGATGGTAGGAATCGTGGTTCTTAGCGAGTTGACGGTGGGTGCTGTTGACTAGCTGCCTTCCCTGTAGTCAAAAAGTTCAAAATTAGGACGGCTATGTACAGATAGCCTTTATGTAACTTTGCGTGAAATTTTTAAAACTAGCAAAAAATGAACCTAGTGTATGATGTTCATGAAATTCAACACTCTAAGACTGGTTGGCAAGTACACTGTCCCATGAAAACCAATAAATCTATAGTATCCGTTCTGACACTGGTAAGATAATTAATTAACAATAACGCAATTTCATTCACACTGTTCACAGTAAAAAATCGTTCAGAAAGCGACGAAGCTCCAAGTTTCCACTAGCAAAACAATTTTAACACACAAAGTATTATTTGATCAAACATTTTTTCTAGTGTAAGTTACAAAATTAGGTTATTGTACGAAATCTCTGAATTAATCCGGTTAATAGTGCTTTTGAGCTTAGTTTTGTATTGCATAAACACATACAAATCCACCACGTTGAATCATTTTTAATGTCATTTACAATTAATTCTGTAACGAAAAATATACTTTCCAACAGCTTTGGCCCATTTATTTATATTTATCGGATCACACAAGCACTTGAGAGAAGAGTGAAACAGCAAAAATGTGATTTTAACATGACGTTCTTCTGAAGGTGAAATGTTATAGATAAAAATGCTTTAATTTCCAAGTTTTAAGAAATACACAAGTTTGTTCTAAACGTGTAAGACAAACTTCACGTAAACTGGTCAGTGTAGTATTAGCAAGTCGTCAGAAATGTTCTGCTGTCGTACTATGAGATTTAACAATAAATTGTTCAGATTTTGTTGGTAAAGTGAAAACTATTCAACATTTGAGAAACAATTAAAAAGTATTCTTGCGCAAATAACAAGATAAATGGAAAACAATATATAATATATATAAGTTTGTTTGTTTGGTTTAGAGTCACATTTGGGTACTTGCTGTGTCTTCTGCGGGGATTCGACCCCCTGACTTTAGCGTTTTAAATTCGGATAAGAAAAAATAAGATAAAAAATCTTTTGGGATTTCGGTTACATTGTAATTTTTTGTTGTTGATATGTTTCACGTCATCATGTGGAGAACGAGAAAAATGGGAAAGAATATATAATAGAAATAAACTAGAATATTTCAACAGATAGCAGACTGGTACATGACTGATAATAGCTCTTGGTTAAATTTCAACAGATAGCAGACTGGTACATGACTGATAATAGCTCTTGGTTAAATTTCAACAGATAACAGACTGGTACATGACTGATAATAGCTCTTGGTTAAATTTCAACAGATAACAGTCTGGTACCTGACTGTTAATAGCTCTTGGTTAAATTTCAACAGATAACAGCCTGGTACATG